AGCGCCTTGAGCTCGTCGACCGTCTCCTCGATCGGCGTCTCGGGCGTCACGCGCGCAGGCACAAAGATGTCGACGTACTCGACGCCCAGCACTGCGAGCGTCGTCTCGATCTCCCGACGCACATCCTTGCGGCCCACGTGATGCTCCATACCCTTGCCCGTGATCTTGCCCTGCAGCCAGCCAAAGGGCAGCACAAGCGGAGGAGCGGCTTGTCAGCCCATCAACTACTTCCCTTCCGCAAGCCTTGTTCGGCGACCAGAAAGACTTACACCAAACTTGACGGAGAGGACGAGCTTTTCGCGCCCGACGCGCTTGATGACCTTGGCGAGCAGCTTGAGCCCGTGGTGGTCGTGGCCGTAGTAGGTGGCCGAGTCGAGCAGACGCACGCCCCGCTCGACGGCGGCGAGGATGGTTGCCATGCTCGCCTCGTCCTGCTCGGCGGTGGGGACGTGCTTGTACAGCGCCGCCCACGGAGAGTACAGGCTGAGCCCGAGACCGAACGGCCCGAGCTCTTGCGCTCCCAGAGCGTGCGATGGTCTGGTGGTCGCCATGATGCTGTGTGGAATCGAACGAGGTACAACGTGGTGAAGTGCAAAGACGATCGTGCGTCGACGTAGTCCCGGCCAAGTAGACGGCCCTTCGCAAGCTCGGTATGATATCCACCCGGCCGGGGGGAGCTGACTCGACGCCGTCTCGGACACGGAGCTTCATGCAGGAAAGGGCAAGGCTCAAAGGTATGCTGGTCGTCGTACGTCACGCGCGGCCTCGGATCGGCTCTCCACGCATTCCTCCTGGAGATCTTCGGGCAGACCAGGCGGACATTGTCCAGATCCACTGCTGCGTGATTCTGACGACTCGGGGTTTGCTCTGCTGGGCTCGGAAGGTTCGGCGGAAGAGCGCAAGATCGTGCGTTACGCAGTACCTGACAGCTTTCTCTTGCTTGTCCAAGGAAACACGAAAAATTAGTTTAATCGCAAAATAAATAAGGGGATACGAAAATAGGCAGGGTACCACGTCCCGTACCGCAGGACAGGCAAGGCGGGGCGGATACAGCAATGTCCGTCCGTGCGTCCGTGCTGGGGAACGCTCGTTACGCCGGGCTTCATGACCCCGCTGCGCGAGTGTTCTGACAGGGCCAAGGACATCCTGCTGGGCAGCGCGAGACGCAAGTCGCGATCAGGATGCAATAAAGAGCTCGTCGGTGACCACTTGTGCCGCCGTGTCGTTTCTGCTCAGCGTGCTTTCCTCCTCCTTTTCGGCAAATGTCACAGCTTTGACGCTCTCAGGCACGAAGCTCGACGTCATCATGGGGGCCAATGACACCAAGACTCTCAAGCGTCCGGTGAAGAGTGTATTCGTACCCCTCTCGTCGATCGGACACGACTATCTGCCACTGCTACGCGCGCTTGTGACTGTTTGCGCCGCACCCAATGATGCCAGCGACGCGAGTTCGACGGCGGGCATCGACCGAGCAAAGGGCATCCTGGTCAACTGTGCGCTGTGGCTGGTCAGAGACATTCGGTCCGCTCAAGAGCTGTATACCGATCTCACGTTTCCGCAGCACGTTCGAAATGCGTTGGAGACAGAGACGAGCGAGGAGGCGGCGCTCAAGACGCTGCTCATGCTCGGTCAGGCAGAGACCAACGGCAATGCTGTGACAAGCGCCATCACCAGCACACTCTTCACAGCGACCCAGACCGCCAACTATGCTCTGTATGCCCACGAGTTCGAGCCGGCCGCCTTGGACGGTGCAACGCCGGCATCATCGGGTGCGTGCCTGCCGTTCTGCGGAGGTGCGCTTTCGGCCTACGCCATCGCACACAAGCATCGAGGCGAAGCAGCATCTGCTGGTCCATCGCAGAGCTCTAGCATCAACGCCTGCCGAATGGCTTTCTGGATGGGTCTTTCGAGCGACCGCGTCGCCGCTCGACACGCGCGCCAGCACCATCTGGTCGAAGATCACGCCGAACGCCACGACCTCGGCAGCTGGTGCTGTGTCGTCCTCGGCTGGTCGGAAGAACAGGTGCAGCGCGTACTGGAACAGATGCCCGGCAACGAGCGCCCCTACATCTCCAGCATCACTTCGCCCACCGCCATCTCGGTCTCCGGCCCTCCCTTGCAGCTCGATTGCCTCCAGAGCATTGTCGCCAAGCAGAAGGGCGCACGCACCGTGCGGGCTCCCATCTACTCGCCCTTCCATTCCAACCGCTGGATGCAGGAAGCCTCAGACGAGTTCGAGGCGCTCTGCCACGAGCAAAAGATCGGCCAGGAGGGGGACGCTCTTCCTCCGTGGTTGAGCGTCTACTCATCCTTCACCGCAGTCCAGGACCAGCAGGCGTGCAGCTCGGCAGCCGGGCTGGCCCACCTCATCTGTCGCAATCCGGCTCGATACTCGGAAATGGTGGAGAATGCGTCTCGACAGGCGGTGCAGCTGCTTCAACAGCAGCCTAGTACCACCATCACCGTGCTCAACGTCGGACCGGGAGGTGGGCTCGGCCAGAGCCTGGCAAAAAGGCTGCGCGCCGTGGGCGTCCCCGATGAGAAGGTCGAGTTGGTGGATCTGGAAAAGACCATCGCGCGGGCTTCCTTGCTCCCGCAGCTGTCGACCGCAAGTCATCGCAAGGAGCCCTTGGCGATCGTAGGTCAGGCTTTCCGCCTTCCTGGCGGTGCCAACGATTCCGAAACACTGCGGCAGGTGCTGAAGTCGCCGCCCGCTGGGTTGATCACAAAGGTAAGAGCCCTCACATCAAAGCTTCTTCGTACACCGGTACCCGTGACTGATCATCTCTTGTCCGGGCCTCGCTTTGAGCAATGCAGCTGCCAGAGGAGCGTTTTGTCATCGACGATTATGTCAACGAGGCTTCGGCTGGGAGCGCGGCCTGCACACTGACCGAGTCGGGCACGTACGGTGCCTTCCTCAAGGACGTCGACCTGTTCGACGCGGCATTCTTCAACATCAGCCCGCGCGAGGCCGAGCAGATGGATCCGCAGCACCGCCTCTTCCTGATGACGGCGCACGAGGCGCTCGAGGCCGCAGGCTATGCGCCGAACAAGACGCCCACGAACAGGCGCGAGCTTGTGGGCACGTTCTACGCGGGCACCCACGATGACTACCGCGACAACGCGTCGGCGGATATCGGCTCCTACCTGATCACCGGCAATGGACGCGCGTTCGCCTCTGGACGCCTCTCGTTCGTCAAGGATCTCGGCGGAGCCTCGTCTTCGGTCGACGCGGGCGAGGCGAGCTTTGTGGCGGCGGTCCACACAGCTGCCGAGCATCTGCAACGCGGTCAGATCGAAACCGCCGTCGTAGGCACGTCCTGCCTCTTCACCTCGCCACCGAACTGGGTGGGGCTGGACAAGGCCGGCGCGCTCGGCAAAGGCGTCACGGCTGATAACGCGCAGACACCGTTCGAGCAAGGGGCGGACGCTTGGACGCGTTCCGAAGCTTGCTATACGCTGGTGCTCAAGCGGCTGAGCCAGGCCGAGGCTGAGGGCGACGAAATCCTGGCCCTCGTTCCCGGCATTGCTGCTACCTTCTCCCCGCCCGCCGCTTCGACGTTGACGGGGTTCAAGCAGCCAGCGCTTGCTCCGCGTGGGGATGGTCTGGCCTCGCAGGTCCGGTCGCGCGCTTCGACCATGTTGGCGGCCTTGCAGCTTGCCGGCTTGAAGCCGGGCGATGTCGACCTGATCGAAGCCAACGCGAGCGGGTTTGCAGCCGACGAGGCGGTGGAGCTCGACGCGATCGCAGCCGCCTTCAACTCTTTTGGCACCAGCGCCAACGCGAAGAAGACCTACCTGGGCTCGGCAAAGGGCGTGTTTGGTTGCGCCGAAGGCGCGGCAGGCGGCGTGAGCCTCGCCAAGAGCCTGGACTGCATCCTGACCAACTCGAGGTACCCTGAAAAACAACCTGGTAAACGAAATCCGGCACTGTCCACTCTGGCGAAATCCAACATTGTTCTCGGCGATGCAGGGCACACCGAGGATGCCGGCGTCGACGTGGTGCTCATCAACAGCTACAGCTCGGGCGGAGCCAACACGTCAATAGTCGTGCAGAGGTACACACCGCCGTCTCCAGCGAGCGCTGGGAACACTACCCCTGCAGCCGAAGTTGAGGGCAAGAAGCGCTCGTTCGTGGTGGGGCTTGCTGCCAAGTCCGCAGCATCGCTGCAGCAGCAAGCCGCTGCATGGCACTCGGCGCTTCAGTCCTGCTCGGACAAGGATCTGGCTGCAATCTCGCATACCAGCCTGGCACGACGCAACACCAACCTCCCCTTCCGCGCGGCGGCAAAGGTGGCCATCGTAGGGTTAGGGTTACAAGGGGGTCTGCTTT